CTGGGTGATGCACTCTGTTTAGTATCCATGACACCAGTCCACTCAATGTTATCAATGCCCTTCAATCATTTTGGTAACCAAAATACTTGCTTTTGTTGAAAATAACTTCTTAAACCTATTTGGGAATTTTTTGCAAGCACTTGTTTTTACAATGATCACCTTTGAATGTTTAGTGAAAGGTCATATAAACTAGAACACAAGTTTACTATGTCCATCATCTCTGATCCCACCAGACACCCAGGGCCCTGAATCAGCACCAGTGTCACCCTGCTCCCTCCCCCTTAAACTCCACACACAATCCATTATCAAGGTCTTTCCCAGTCGCTTTTAGTCTTTTTGTAAACAGCTTTAGTTTGCTTGGCTCCACGATCAACATTCTTGGCACCAGCATCCAGGAAATTAAAAGACGTATTGCATTGGGAAAGTCTGCTATCTGACCTCTCAAAAGTAATGAAGAGCGGCAACCGCCTGACCCGCAGCTTCGCGGAGGAAACCCTGCTGCAGCCATGTCCTTACTCCGAGGTGTGTTCATCGTGGCTGCCAAGCGAACGCCCTTCGGGGCCTATGGTGGCCTTCTGAAAGATTTCACCGCCACTGATTTGGCTGAATTTGCCGCCAGGGCAGCCCTGTCGGCTGGCAGCATCCCTCCTGAGACCGTTGACAGCGTCATTGTGGGCAACGTCATGCAGAGTTCTTCCGATGCTGCATACTTGACCAGGCACGTGGGTTTGCGCGTGGGGATCCGCACAGAAGTCCCCGCTCTCACGGTGAACAGGCTCTGTGGCTCTGGTTTCCAGTCCATTGTCAGTGGATGTCAGGACATCAGTGTTAGAGATGCAGAAGTTGTCTTGTGCGGAGGAACCGAGAGCATGAGCCAGAGCCCTTACTGTGTCCGAAATGTGCGTTTTGGAACCAAGTTTGGATTAGATCTCAAGCTGGAAGATACATTGTGGGCAGGGCTGACGGATCAAACTCCCCATGGGAATCACTGCTGAGAACCTGGCCGAGAAACATAAAATAAGCAGAGAAGAATGTGACAAGTATGCTCTGCAGTCCCAGCAAAGGTGGAAAGCTGCTTACGATGCTGGCTACTTCAATAAAGAGATGGCACCAATTGAGGTGAAGACCAAGAAAGGGAAGCAGATGATGCAGTTGGATGAACACGCCCGCCCCCAGGCAACGCTGGACCAGTTGAGTAAGCTTCCTCCTGTGTTCAAGAACGAAGGCACAGTCATGGCCGGGAACGCGTCGGGAGTATCTGATGGTGCTGGAGCAGTTATCATAGCTAGTGAAGATGCTGTGAAAAAACATAACTTCAAACCTCTAGCAAGAGTCATGGGCTATTTTGCTTCTGGCTGTGATCCTTCTATCATGGGTATCGGTCCCGTCTCTGCCATCAGTGGGGCACTGAAGAAAACAGGACTGAGCCTGCAGGACATGGATTTGGTGGAGGTGAATGAAGCTTTTGCTCCTCAGTACTTGGCGGTTGAGAAAAGCTTGAGTCTTGACCCAAGTAAAACGAACGTGAACGGAGGGGCCATCACTCTGGGGCACCCGTTGGGAGGATCTGGATCGAGAATTATGGCTCACCTGGTTCATGAATTAAGGCGTCGAAGTGGAAAATACGCTGTTGGATCGGCTTGCATCGGAGGGGGGCAAGGCATCGCAGTCATCATTGAGAACACAGCCTGAGACAGCCCGGTGTCTGCTCCGGCCCCTCTCTCTTACTCCCCTGGCCTGCTGAGCGCTGCAGAAAACGGCCAGGCCTCACCACTGCAACTGTGATTGATTCTGGCCAGAACGGCAGTGTGTTTTTATCATGAATGAGCGCCTGTAACTCTAGGCCCGAAATAAGTTCTCCATCCTGCCCTGGTCAAATATGACAGATTTCTGAACTCAAATTCAACCATAGGCCTTAAAAGGAACTATATCCTTGCCATATAACCACCACTTATGCCTTAGATCATATGACTGCAAGGAAATCAAATAAACATTGCCTTAACTTGAAAAAAAAAGTAATGAAGAGCAATGACGTCAGTCTAGAGACTAAGGTGCACCTGATACTAGTTCTTCCGACCCAAAATAAACCGAGTTTAGGTTATTACTACTGTTATTAGCTGCCTGCCTGAACACCAACCTATTGACTTCAAATGGGTCCTGAACTTCCAGTCTGCAGCTAATTTCTTTGATAATGTAGTTAATTACTGTTAGGCTTTAATGGACTTAAAGTTGGAAATGCCTTTGCGTTCATTTTGGCCTGAGAAAATGCCTGTGATTTTTGTATGTGAAATGAAATTCCTGACCTCCTATAGCCTGGGCCAAGAACCAAAAATTCCTGTCTTCTAGAATGTCTAAACAACAATATACCATCCTTCCTCTTAAAATTAATACAACACTTTCTTTTGCTTTTCAAAGGACTTTAACTCTTTCATTTTTATTCCCAAGATCACTCTGAAAAGTGCACTTTTCTATGGCTCAGTTACTTACTGGATGATCCTGAGCAAGTTGAATTTCCTTTCTGTACTCGTTTACTCAATGTATAGAGATAATGAAGTGCCCATTTCACGGGTTTGTAGCGTGAGGACTAAATTATTAAATAAGTTAGCACATGTAAAGTGCACTCATGACAATGTTGAGTGAATTCTAAGTGTTCCCCCTGCTCTCGTTGCTTGGACACGCTGGGTACTTGCCAGTTTGTTTTGGAGTAAAGTTTAGCTTCCTAAAGATCTGGAGAAGTTTCCTCTTTAATTGTAAGAATGTTCCCAGAACACTGCAAGTCTGTTCTTCCCATTACTACTTGTTTATGTTCTTCTCTTTCTTGCACCCTCTGCCCCACCCAAGCTTTGTTGACTGTTCTCTTTGTAGTCTTCAGCCCACTCAATACATGCTTTCTTTCTTGATTCCCATTAGCCTAGAACCAAACACCCAAAATCTTGTGACATCATACTACCTTCTTCCTGTCTGAGCAGAGTGATATCTTCTTCTAAAGCTTATGCATTTGTCCATAGCAGCTGAAATCTTTTGGTTTGGGCACCATGAGAACAAATTGAACCTATATGTTCTTAGCAGTCTTAACTGTTCACTAGCCATTCCACTGTGAAACCACAAGATGGGCTGCAGGAAAGGCCAGGGTGTCCCGTACAAAGCTACTTAGTCACCTGAACTTCCTGTGTGAACATGCATCCTCTGTGTGTGCCATTTGCAAGATTCCAATTGTACAAAAAAATACTTCCTTTATCTCTGAAAACAAAGTGCTAGCTAGAAGTTTGTTTTCTAAATAAAAACTGATGGCTTTGAAAACATCCAAATTATTGCTCCTTGGCCTGAAAACAGTACCTGGCAGATGCCAGCAGATGATATGGAGGTTGGGCTACAATTAGGCAACAGGACCCCCTGTACTGACTGACATGTGCTTCTGGGACTCTTTTCATTCCTCTCCTCCCCAGCACATCTTCCTGGTTGTGCTGGGTAGCAACAGAATGAGTATTTCCAAAACAACTATACCCACAACTACTGTTCTGTTTCTTAACACTCCTCCTAAGTTTGTGCCAGGTTTTGAAAGGGAAAAACAGACTGCGCATCTCTCTAGAATCTCCACTTGGTAGAGCGCAGCTTCTTCTAGTCCCTTCCTGTCCCAAGCCTGGCAGTTACCTTGCATGGTGAGGAGCCCACTTTTCAAAACTGCAAACATGGTTCAAATATTCCCTTCATCTTCTCTGAAAAGAGTGCACAGAGGTATCGCTAAATGACAAAGCCCAGCTAAAGATGGTAGGGAAACCTCCTTTCCTTTCTAACAATCAAGTATCCGTATAAAATAAAAATTTTATTTATTTATAAAAAACAGCAATCAAGTAGTTACCCCTGAGAAATAAAGTAATTGTTCATCTTAAGCTCCCTAAGACAAGTCCACTGACACTGAGTTGATTCCAACCCGTAGTGCCTCTTAAGGACAGACTACAATCATGCCACAGGATTTCCAAGTGGCTTAGTGGTAAGGACTCACACTGCCACGGCAAAAGAATGCAGTCTGAATGCCCCAGCTGCTCTGCAGGAAAAGGATGGGCAATCTCCTCCCATTGGAGGGTCAGCTACAGGTCAGTTCCAACTCAATGACATACAACAACAATCTTCACAGAAGCAGACTATTACATGTTTCTCCCATGGAGCAGTTAGTGGATCCAAACAGCCTACCTTCTCAGTTGGCAGTTAGTTACTTTAATAACTATGCCACGAAGGCTCTTTCTTAGAGTTAAGAGCCCCCGCAAAGAGATTCTCCTTGTTAAGAGCTTTATAATGTTGGTTATAAAAGTTATCAGATGTTTGCTATTATAGTAAATACATTCTTTCAATTATGGGACAGGTTACTATTAATATTTATTTGTAAATCAATGCTAAGAAATTGTTTAGGTAGTATTAGAGCTTTACAAAGGCATAGAAGTAGGTATATCACGTATAAAATTAGGCTAAACTAAGTAAATGGACACCAAACACCTTATTGTATCTGTAAATTATGAAGGGCTAAAAAATGAGACCCTAAAATTCGTGAAGCTGCCATCATAGTATCTATTTGGCTAGGAGTCAAATGCAGTGCCATCAACTCAGTTGTGACAGCCTACAACTCAATAAGGAAACCAGTTCACAAGGAGCATGCTGAAAATTGCTCGTAAACAGGAATAAGCCAAATGGGCGGTACTCTGTGGCTCTTTCACTTCCAGTGTTGAAGACACAGCTTCTCAAGCCTCCCTTTCAATCTCAGTTGCTTAACGGTAAGAATCTCCCATAAGTGTTTTCCTGGCCCCTCTTTGGGTCATGCTGATGAAAGTTAAGTAAGTCAGGAGAAAACCTCAGAAGAACCACCCTAAATCAGGCCTGCAGACTGTACTCCCAGTGTCATGACCACCTCACACCCGCATCAAGTGTCTTTCATCTCAAGCAGCCCCAGCTGACGAGGTAAAGGTCACATACAGTGCTGATAATATCGGAAAAATAAACTCTTGTGCAGCCTGAGGAATAAAAAAAATACCTTCCCCCCCTTTTTTAATAGTTTTTACATTAATATGCTTCAGCCAGTGGAGCAGAAGGCAGACTTTTCACCTCGTTCAGAAGGTTGTGAAACTCTTCCACTGCCTGTGAATGTGCTGAAGGGTTTAGCACAAGGTGTTGGAAGAGATTGACAGGCTCAGCATTCCGAAATGTCTTGGGGATCGGGATGGTTAGGGGCAGGAAGGTGTTACCAATGAGGAAGTGATGGAGGGACCTCTGCTGGAGGCCTCGGCCCAAGAACCAAAGGATGTCTTGGAGCCGCTGAGAGAGCATGTTGTGCTGCCAGTCCGTTAGGGGCAGCCTCAGCAACAGGTGCATGAGGGCTGTTTTGAAGTGGTAAGAAGTGAGGACAGGGCAAGATGCCCCATGGGGTAAGTTCTCAAGATCCTGTAGACTTAGAATTATCTGGAGGCATTTGAGGTGACAGGTGTTCTCCGGAGCAAAGCGTCCTATCAGCTTAAGGAACAAGTGCTCACAGGCTGCAAAGGACTCTGGCCAGTTCACACTAGAGAGCTGTTCCTGGTCAGGGGCCTGACTCACCAGGTAGACCAAGGTGTCTTCTCGCTGCACGCCCAAGACCAAGCTGACAGAGAGAAAGCGGCCTGAGCGGTAGTCTAGCCTGAGCTCACAGGAGGTGGCAGATGGTGGTAAACTGAGCTTAAAGTCATACTTGTGGGCCACAAGGGCCCAGGCATTGCCCACCAAGTTCCGGAACCACTGGACAGTCTTGTACACATCCAGGTGCGAGCCAGTGCAGAGGGAACCCTTGATGAAGCTGTTCCACTTCCCAGCGGCTGCCAGGTGGTCACTGTTGTGGTGCACCAGGCACAGGACGTCCCCCAGCAGCTTCTCACATTTACACATGCACTCCAACTCCACCAGCACGCAGCCACAGCGGCGGCCCAGAGCTGGGTCCCTCATCTCTAGGACAAATATAAAGCCCTGAGGAGGGACGATGGGCACCAGGATATCAAACTTCTGTGTCTCCTGGTAGGTTCCCCATTTCTCAAAGGCAGCTCCAATGCCCAGGCAGTCTTCCAACTGCAGGTGAGCCTCCCGGCGGCTGAGCATCCGACAGGCCTCGATCAGGTCATCCACAAAGCTCTCCACAAATTCACAGGTGCTGCGCAGGTCGCGGTTGGCATTGTAGACGTAGTGTTGGTAAAAGGAATCCAGGGCCACCCCTGAAGGGAAGTCAGTAAACCAGCTGCAGGAAGTGACAGGCACAACACGGACTTCTGCCTCTTCATCATCACTGCTGGAATCAAATGCCGGCTCATGCTGTATGTTCTGTCGCACAAGCTCAAAAAGGAGAAAAAGGCAAAAGAGGCCAGCATTCCACAGATTTCCCAGCATCCAGCCCAAAGGTCCGCTGTGGTCATCAGCCTGGACAGTCCACCCAGTGTCTGTCTTCCCCAGCATTAACTGATCAGCGGATGTTTCTCCTCTCCACAAGTTCTCTGCCTTCTGCCTCTGCTCAGCTGCTTGCTTCCGCTCCTCAAACTCCAACTCTAATTGGCGCATCTCTTCACTCATTCGCTTCTCCAGCTGCCGACTTCTGGCTAGCGTGTCCAGGTCCATCCGGTCACTGACCAGCAAGGGGTGGTGAACAACATACATCACTGCCAAGAACAGCAGGCTTATCACAGCCATGGGGGCCTCTGCATCTGGATAAGTAGGAGGGTGAGGAGTCAGAGGTGGTCTTCCCAATGCATCAACTCTCCACTGCATATATTCCCCCAGAACCCTGGAACCCCAATCCTAAAACTCAGGAGGAACTCGACATTCACAGAGCTGAGACTGGACAGTGCAAGTTGGTCTGCCCAGAAGATTGTGAAGGAAGAGAGGACAGCAAATGTACTGTTCAGTCTCTCTACTGCTTCCCTTCCACATGGTTTGGGTGGTATCCAGGCCTTCATAGTGTGGCCATTCCTTTGTAGGCTAGGGAGGGGGACCTTTGTGGCAGGGTGGCCTCACCCACCTCATCAGTCCACCTTAGACACCGGATATGCCTGCAGATCCCAGAGGCTCCCTTCTAGAAAACCCTGGAGCTGCCTGAGTGTCTCCTTTCTCCTGGTTCCAGCTAGACTTTCCCATTTCCTCTGTGACTTCACAATCCTTCTGCTTACTCTGTGTCATCAAGGCCTGGGCCTCTCCATCTCTAACTTACCCCATGGGCAATCCCCCAGTGCTTGTCAGGGAGGCCCTGCACTGTCAGCCACCTCCCCAGCGCCTGCCACTCTATCCGTACAGAGGGGGCTATCAGCTGCCTCATGCGTGGGTCAGATGCAGAGGTGGGCACAGCTTCCTTCTCAGCCCAGGAAAACAGAAGAACCAGTGCTAGCACTGGTTGTTGCTCCCCCCTTCACCAGAGAGAGACTTATCTAGTGTATGGCAGCTATCGCACATGGGCACCACATGAGTGGGGGAGAGGGTGCCAGTGGGCAGTTTCCAGCAGCAGCAGCTGTGAGAGATCATGCAGCGATTTAAATTAATCGTCATAGATATCTATTTTCTTTAGGCAACCTCTGCTCTCCACCCACTGGGGGACCTGAAGCTGCTGGCTTTCATCCCACTAGTTCACAAGTTAGTTATTGGGCTTACCTGAGGTCCATGAAAGGCTGTGGCTCGCTTAAGCCTGGGCGGGGGGCTGTCCTCTTTGGAACGTTGCCTCACTTAGCCTCCCTACCCTCCAGAAGCCCTCTGAAATTGTACAAGGTACCGAAGGATTTACACTCAAAACAGGGAGCCCCTCATTCATTCAGCAGCTGCATGGTCAGGAATGGGCACTCTCAACCAGCAGGGCAGACTGAGCCTCCAGATCGCGGGCCCACCCTCTCAGTTTCTCCCAGGATCTAGGTGGGGACAGGTTATTCACCGACGGGCTCAGCAGGAACTTGGCCTAACGGGGTTCGACGCCTTGCTGGGATGGGACCTCCCGGTCCAGCGCCCAGGGAACAGACAGATCATGATCCTGTGTGGCCTGCACGAGCGAGCGGGTCCCGCAGCGCCTCCGCGGCGGGCCCAACCTGCAACCCCCACGGCCCAGCCCCACAGGCTCCCGCCACTCGCCCCGCAGAGGCCAGACCCTCCCGCCCCGCCGGGCTCCCTGCCAGCTCCAGCCGGGTCTCCCACCCGCTCCTGCTATCCCCTACCCGCCCCGCCGGCTCCTGCCCGCCCCGCTGGCCCTGCCACCCTGCAGGCTCCCCCCGCGCGCGCCCTGCCGCCCTCCCTGCTACTCGACCACCACCACACATTGCCCCACCGGTCCCGCAGGCTCCAGCCCCGCCGGGCCCTCCGCCGGTTCCCGTCACCCGCTCCGCGGCAGCCAGCTCCTCCCCTCCGCCCCGCCCCGAATCCTCGCGGGCAGTGCAGAGGGGGCAGCTGCGCCCCAGGCACCCACAGGCCCGGCCACCTTCCTGGTGGCGCCGCCTCCTGTCGGCTCCTGGGGACAGCGGAGGTGGCTGATCCGGTCTGGCTGCTCAGAGTCGCCAGTGTGGCACTGGGGGCCCCTGCACTGCAGTGCCAACTTCACTCAGCTCAGCTCGGGTGACTGGGAATTTAGGTGTCAACATAATGATGACAAAATTAGCAATTGGGGGGACATACGTTATTCCCGTTCAAGGCTGTCCCTGAGGAAAATAGTACAGGAGAGAGAAGTGTCTTCCCACCCTAAAGTGCCTCACTTCACTTAGTACTTGGCATTAGGAATCTTGCCAGTCACTTTCTCCCATCAAAGTGACACATATGGAAAAAAAATCAGCTCACAAAGAGCAGCCGTGAGCCCCAATTGGCCCCTCACTAGTCGTTCATGGGAGCAAGAATGTTAAACTTACAGAGTAGCAGTGTTGGGGAAATGGGGTTTGTTTTTGTTTTTTTTTTTTTTAATGGGTTTATAAAAAAGATCGTTGTTAGAGTATGGATGGCTGGACAAGCCAACAAAGGATTATTTATAATGACAGACAAAGCTTAATTGACGATAAATGACACAAGGCTCATAGCTTTAAATAATCGTGGAATTTCAGATTCTGGGGATTTTTATGTTATTTTATTTTATATTCAAACCCTGCTTCCTGAAACTGAAGAGGACCTGAAGCACTTGCTGCAGAGGGTCAAGGACTGCAGCCTACAATATGGATTGAGGCTCAATGTTAAGAAGACAAAGATTCTCACCACTGGACCAATTGGCAGCATCAGGATGGATGGTGAAGAGATTGAGATTGTACACAGCTTTAGTTTGCTTGGCTCCACAGTCAACAGTCTTGGCACCAGCAGCCAGGAAATTAAAAGGCACATTGCCATGGGAAAGTCTGCTGTTAGGGACCCCTCCAAAGTACTGAAGAGCAATGGTGTCTCTCTGGAGACTAAGGTGCATCTGATACAGGCCATGGCCTTTGCAATCACATGTTATGCATCAGAGAGTTGGACAATGACCAAGGAGGATAGAAGGAGAATTGATGCCTTTAAGCTGTGGTGCTGGAAAAGAGTATTGAGAATACCATGGACTGCTAGGAAAACAAACAGATTTGTCCTGGAAAGGGTTAAACCTCCTTGGAGGCAAGGATTCTGAGGCTCCGTCTAACATACTTTGGACATGATGTGAGGAGAGACTGATCCTTGGAGAAGGACATCATGCTTGGGAGGGTGGAGGGACAGCGCAGGAGGGGAAGGCCCTCTATGAGGTGGATTGATTCAGTGACTGGGATAATCGGGATGGGAGTGTCAGAGACAGTGCGATTGGCATAGGACAGAGCAGAGTTTAGGGATGTTGTACATAGGGTCGCTATGAGTTGCAAGCAACTCGATGGCAGGTAACAACAACAACAAACAACTTTCTAGTTCCTCAAAAAGTACAGTTTTCTGCTCACTGTTCATATAAATATTAGGCCTGCTTGGCATTCAGGATAAACATTCTTCCCAATAGTCTTGGCCTGCTCATTCCCTTCCTCAACTCCTTTGCTTTACAGTTTGCTTGAAGTACAGATTTAAAGCAGTTCTAAAGAAACCTTAATATTAGCCCTGACAACAGAGGGGTCTGGAAACATGAATCCAGATTTTTCTTAATTACACAAGGCCTTTCTTTTTCACTTGGGTGATGAATAAATAGTTGACACATAGACTGGAGGTTCCACTCAGATGTGCCTCAGGAAAAAGTCCTTGTGATCTAATTCCAAAAAATCAGCCCTTGAAATTCTAGGGAGCATTCTGATCAAAAACTCTATAGAAGAATCTCAATCAAAATGGAGGAAATATAGGACAGAATTTCAAATTCTCTTACAAAATTTCAATTCTAGTCTTTTTGGAGCCAATAGAAAAAAACCCCAAAAACCAAAAAACTATTGCTCCGAGATAATCTTTGAACCAAAAATACCCTTCAAGTCTTTTCAAAATAAAACAATGTTGTTGAATACCATCAAGTCAAAACCAACCCATAGCTGACCTTCCATGGGTTCTGAGACAGTAAATTGCCTGGGAGGAGATTGCCCATAAATTGCTCCCATGGTGGATTTGAATTGTGTGCCTTTGGGATTGCAGCACAGCTTCTTCCTGCTAACCCACCAGAACTACTCTGTGTCAGTGACTGCCTCTGAAAAACCGCTGGAGATCAGCTCTGAGTTGGCTCCAAATCGATGGCTGCATTAAGATAACAATAATTTAAAGACACACACAAAACTGCCTTAACCAGTATAGTCTTTTAAGATATATCTACAAGGAATCAAATTGACAACAGCAACTTGAAAGATGAGTTAAGAATTTTAGAGGAGGGGGGAGGGGTTTGTGTGGGGAGAAGGGTGCAACAATGAATGAATGGAATCCCAAAATCTCTGTAGATGTTCATTGAAATGAAAAATAAACAACCTAAATTTTAAAAAAAAAGTTGGTAGAGAAAAAAAAAAGAATTTTAGAGGAAAGTGAGTTAATGGGGAAGGAACAACTGAGAAAAAGAGGTGTGAGCTGTACAACTTGAAGAATGACTTGCATATCAGTGAATTGCACATTCACAAACAGCTGACATCAATGTTATTCCCAGCACCAAAACAAAATTTAAACAAAACAGCAATAAGATATCATCTTACCCCAACAACAGTGGCAAAGCTCAACATGGCAGCAAACAACAAATGTTGGTAATGTTGTAGAGAGTTTGGAACTCTTTATTCCCTGCTGGTGGGAATGTAAAATGGTACAGCCACTATGGAAAGTGGTCTGACACTTTCTCAAAAAGTTGGAACTAGAAATACTATTTAATCCAGCAATTCCAGAACTACTGAGAATATAGCCTAAAGAAACCAGAGCCACCACTCAGATGTATGCACACCCATTTTTATTGCTGTGTTATTCACAATAGCAAAGGGATGGAAACAACTCAAGTCACTATCAACAAAAGAATGGATAGAAAAACTATGATACATTTGTTGTTGTTATGTGCCATCGAGTCGCTTGCGACTCATAGCGACCCTATATACAAGAGCTCTAAATGCTGTTCTATCCTGTGCCAACCTAGTCATCTCAAATGCACTCATTCCCACCACTCCACTCACAGAATCAATCTATCTCATCGAGGATCTTCCTCTCCTGCGCTCTGTCTCTACTCTGTCAAACATGATGTCCCTCTCCAAGGATCAGTCCCTCCGTGCAACATGCCCAAAGTATGTCAGATGAAGTTTCAGAATTCTTGACCCCACGGAGCATTCCGGCTTCACCTTCTCCAGGACAGACCTGTTTGTTCTCCTAGCAGATACGTTTACACGATAGAATATTATACACTATTGAAAAACAGTGAGCTTGTAAAGTATTACACAACATGGGGGACCTGGATGACATTATGCTGAGTGGAATATCTGTCACAAAAGGACAAATACTGAATAATATCACTGTTATAAAATAGGACAGACATTGGAGGGTTGGGAAGAGAATGGGAAAAGGGTGGATAGATATCATTAGGCATTATATGTACGAGAACAATCTGGAATATGGGTGTAATGTGGGAAGGGCTGGTGGAGGAGGGGAGGGAAGAACATGTGTAACAATGAAAAAATTAATAAAATTTAAACAAAGAAAACTCTGTGGACC